CGCCTGTCGCCTCATGGGCCCTATTGTCACCCCACGGGCCCTATTGTCACCCCACGGGCCTTATTGTCACCCCATCGCCCTCCGTATCACCCCATGCCCCCCTCCCCCGTGCCCAGCTGTTACACTCCTTTCGCCTCCCTGTCACACAAATGTCCTTTCTGCCTCCACGCTGTCCCAGGAGAGGTGCCCCTATTGCTCTTCTTGCACTCGTGGTGGCCCTTCTCATGGTGGCCTTCCTCCTAGTTACCCTCCTTATCCCTTGTGGTGGCCCTCCTCACCCTTGTGGTGCCTCTTCTTGTGCTGGCCTGCCTCATGGTGGCCCTCCTCGCCCTCATGGTGGCTCTCACCCTTGTTGACCTTCATCCTCATGGTACCCTTCCCCGTGCTGGCCCTCCTTGCCCTTGTGGTGGCCCTCCTCATGATGGCCTCCTCATGGCGGCCCTCCTTAGCCCTTCTGGTGGGCCTTCCTGTGGTGGCCCCGCCTCATGGTGGCCCTGCTTGCCTTCATGGTGGCCCTCACCCTTGTTGGCCTTCATCCTCATGATGTCCTTCCTCATGGTGGCCCTCCTTGTCCTTGTGGTGGCCCCCTCCATGCAAGGAGCCCAAATGAGGGATTTTTGCCGCTTTTCCAGGCAGGACGACGGAAAGCTGCCCCGGTGGGGGCCAAGTTGCCGAGGGCACCTCTTTCCATTACCGTGCTCAAATCCGTGTTATTTTTAAGGTAAAATGAACGGCGTTTGGGCAAGGGCAAAAAGCCCTGGGCACGCTGGCCCCGCACCACCCTCCTGGTCCTGCCTGGACCCGTTATCAGCCGGCGACTGAGCAACACCCGGACAACACCCGAGCAACACCCTTGTCAAACACCTGAGCAACAGCCAAGCCGCCCCGGCCGCGGGCGCCGGGGTGGAGCAGTGGGAAGCGCAGGCCGCATCCCGGCGCCTCCGGCAGCCCCTTCTCCTTCCCCTAATCACCTCGGGGCTCAGCGGGTGCAAACAGGGATTTTCCCTCCGGGAAAGCCGCCCGGAGAGGCCTTGGGAGCCCTTTGCCCCGCACGCTTTTCCCTGGAGCAGGCAAGCGCCGGGCCGCAGCTGCCGGAGGAGGGAATCGGGGCTGCGAGCAAAGCAACAAAACCGCTTTTCATGCCCTAATCCCTGGTTACCAAGTCCTGGGGCAGCGGCGCGCCGGGGACAATGTCCCCTGTGTCAGGCAGCTGCTCCCAAAAATACCCGGTCCCCCTTGGACGGCAGCTGCTCCCGGCCCGGCGCAAGTGCCGGGTCTGCCGGGATGGGCACCTGCTGCTCACACCTCAGCTTGGGAATTCGTTGCAGGATTTCCAGCGGGTTTCCCTATCCCCAGGGAATCTGCGGAATGTGGCGAGCGGCTCTGGAGGCTCCGGCTGTGAGCTGGCATGGGGAGCCTAGAGCAAGGAACCCTCTGGGAGATGCAGTGAGGGAGCCACGGGAGGGAACTCGACACGGGCGAATTCCTGACATCGCCCACACTAAGCCCTTGCAGACGCCGCACGAGCGAGCTCCGGTTTATCCGGCCTCCCAGGCATTGCTTTGGGAGCAGCCTTTGCTCCCGCACCTCGGGCGAAGGCGCTGGGGCTGCTGGAGCCCATGTACCCTGGGGCCTCTGCGCCGGCGTTTCCCACTGCCGCTTTTCCCCAAGGATCCTCCAAGATCCCAAGAGCCACCGTGTTCGCCCCGCTGGGAAGGCTGGCGGCAGCGTCTTTCCTTATCTCCCTGGCTCAGGTGATAAACCCGCTGTGCCGGGTGTGTTTGCCTGCACAGCGCCTGGAGAAGACAAGAATTCCTCCCTTGCCTCCCTGAATTTTTCCAGCGTCGACGTGGCAGGAATGGCTGGGACGGGCGCGGAAATCTCCATGCGGTGCTGACACCCATGGGTGCAGGGTTCTCTGGGACACTGGGTCCAGGCAGCACCATCAGCACCTCCCCATGGTGTTCCTGCAGCCCAGCTCTCCCGCAAGAGAGATTCCAAAGGATCAAGGTGATAAACAGAGCCCTGCAGGTCCGGAAAAGCCAACGGCTGAGGGTAGCTCCAGGCAAAGAGATGGCTCTGCCCGGAGCACCAGCAGGGGCTGGTCAGCAGCCAAACTCCGGGTTCATCCAGCCCTGGGCCACACACGGTGCGTTAGGGACAGATACTGCTCCGCTCCTTGAAGCAGGAGGGACATCAAGGACCCTCCAGCAACTGGACACCCAAGCACAGGGCAGGGTGGCCTCTCCTGCAGGCTGCACCCCATGCCATGCTGGGCATCCCCAGGGCCACATCCTTCCTCCCAAGATCTAAATCCTGACCAGCCCATTCCCACTCTGAGCACAGGAACCCCCGAGCTCCCCAGTGCCACCCCCAGCCCAGCTGGAGCTGGGTGCCACCAAGCAGGGAATCATCACAGCACCAGGGGACCTTCCCACCCCGCCAGGCGAGCCAGGCTGCCAGCCCACACCTCCCCCAGAAAGAAACCACAAGCCTTAGTGATGTCATTAGATTTTTTTTATTATTTTATAATAAACTTCTCATTTTTCCCCCGAGGAAGACAAAACTTGTGAGTGGGGCTACAGGACACCATGAGTGAAGAGTGATCAAGACAGACCCAGGCCACAGGCCAGATCAGAAAGGATCCCCACTCCCCCATGCCAGGGGGGGTCCATCCCCAGGAGCTTCACAGCCCTTGCTTGGATCCCCACCGCACTTGAGTGAAATCAGTGCTGAAAACGGGGGCCTCCGGGCAGCAAGGACAGGGCCAGCTCTGGTCAGACCATCGATGGATCCGGAGGGGACCACGTTTTGCCGCCCTTTGCCTGCCAAAGCGGCCAGCACGGTGGGACAGTGGGTTAGATGCAGCTGTTTTCGATACACATACATGATGTAAATTTAAAAAAAAACAGATGATTTAATTCAAAGCCAAAAAAAAAGAAAAAGGTGGTGGCTCTTCCTGCCAGGCCATCTCACTCTAGGAAGACTTCACACACTGCTTCTCCTGCTCGATAGCTGAAAGAGAAGAGACAGCTCCATTAGTCTTTGGGTTTTATTTTCCAAAGAAACACCCAAGGGAGAAGGCTGCAGAGCAACATCAGGCTTTAGCACCCGGCTCAATTTGGCCCCAAGCTTGTAGATAACCCGGGAGCGGGCAATGGGGACAGAGATGTGGGTGACAGCGGGATGGACACCCACTCTGCTCTCCTCACAGCGGCCAAGCCCCAGCACAGGTTTGGGGCAGGAGGTACCTAGTGCCCCAGGGGGTAGCAGAGCCCTCCTGAGCATCTATGCTCTATGTGGACACCAGTGCTGCCTCTCCAGGCTAAAACCGTCCCCAAACGCCCCTCCGCACTGGATTCCTCGCTCTGCACATGGCTGCCTCCCATGGGAAGGGGATGCTCCGGGGGTCTTGCCAGCTCCCGGGCGCTCCATGCCCTGCTCCTGCGTGCTGGGGGCTGCACTATGGACACGCTGGCTCTGCGGTCCCCAAGCCAGGAGGCCGCCGCGGGCCGGGGCGGGCTGCACTCACTCTCCCTGCAGGGC